TGTGTTTTTTTATTCTGTTTAGATTTTGTATTTTTTAATTGCAATATTTTCATTTACTGATATTAACTGAGGAAGTCTTAACTGAAATGAAAAATAAAAATCTTTATTTCTCTTAACTGATTTTCTAATATTTTAATTTTAAAATCTTGTTTTACTTAGTTGTTGTTTTAATTGTAATTATTTTTTTTTGTATACGCTCCCGAAAACAGCTGTTGAATTCCTAAAATGAGTCTTTTCCGGACTCAATAAAATAGTACACAAAACGGTTTTTGCGGACTAAAAAATAAAATTGGTTACTATGGTAACAAATTTTTTTTAATTAGTAAGAGGTGTGAATTCGTGTTGTGGGAGCTTTAACAAAAAAATCTTGTATGCACCACGTACGCAAAAGGTTTTGGTGACTCCTCTCATTAAAAACCCTAATTTGCGTACTTGATGTATAGCTATTATTTTTTATGATCACTTTACCAGTTTTTACAACACACCTCATTACTAATAATTTATTTAAAACCCGCTTATTGTACGCAACCTATTTTTATAATTAACATTTTATCATTTATTTACATAGGCACGCGTCCTCTACTTTGTAATAAAACTCAATTGGGTACAATTTTTGCAAAAACATAAACATAAAACACATGGCCCTGGACTTATCACTAGGTTATCACCAACTTTTAGCCATGACATGATAACTTCATATTATTTAAAAAAAATACTGACCTGCGGCTTGAGAAAGGGAGTCTGTTTGACCGGTCTCATGTAGCTATCGGTGGTGACGATGAGCACCAAGAGCACCGGCACGATGCAGATGGTGGTGAAGAAGACGACGCACCTGCGAACGGCTCTCCACGCGCTCTCTTCCGGCCTCTTTCGCCTCCTCAACCTCATGATATGAACGCTCCATTCATTTCACTAGGATCTATTGGATTCGTCGGCTCGGATTTTGATAATTATTCACATAGTTTAGTGGAAGACTCGTGATTGAATTGATTGGATTTTTCGGTTATTGCACACCGGATTTTGGCGGTGTCATGTCGGAACAAGCCTCACTTCTGCTCCAACATGACCGTGGTTTTGAACCGCACTGCAGTTGTACGATGGTGAGGTCGATGCCGACGCGGCTACGATTCTGCGTCGCGGCGCGTCGGCAGGATGCCGGATGCTTAATGACCTGATTTAGGACTGCGGACCGGGTCTTCTTATCCGACGAAATAAAGGACATTTATTTCTTTCAAATGGTTAAAAAAATCCATTTATTAATCATTTTATCATTTCTGTTGTGAAAGAACTGATGTAATTGTTTTTATTGATCATCTTGTACCTTTTCCATTATTAAATAATGTTTTTAATATTTAAATAGTTCTTCCAGAAAGAAACAATTTAGGTATAAGCTTAAATATAGAATTGGACAAGTATAACAACATATATAGGTTGTTACAGAAGCCATAACACAGGGCGACAAAAAAAAGTCATGTCATGACAACTTGACTAATTATATATCATTTTGTTCGTCTCAGTGAGACAAATCAAATTCACTAAAAAAAAAAAAAATTAAAAAGTCTAACTAAATATTTTTTTCTAATTTAAATGAATTTAAAATACTTTAACTTTAAAAAATCATTACTCAATAACTATTAGGCCGATTTCCTTTAAATAAAGACCATTCTAAAGGGATGGCCTTGCCCTTTAGAATGATATGCAATGTAAAATTGAATATTGGCAAACTTTTTTTCGAACAGTGTTCGAAGAAGTTTGAAGTAAATCGAAATAATCTAGAAAAACCCTACGAGTAAATTTTTTTTCATTACCATCGTGTAGAGCATCTGTTTATTAGTTGTAATCCAAATTTTCAAAATAATATACCGAGTAGTTTTTAAAATATGATTTTTTGAAGTTAAGGTTTGCTAATCAAGCATTGCTCCATATAGGAGAAATGCATGTTAATCTTACTTAAAATTTCATTTTTATAAAAGTATTTGTTTTAAGACTCTTCTTTTGCTTAAAAATGGTCAATTGCATCTTCTTTGTTCTAAAATTGTTTGTTTACTTACAACAAATAAAGAGTATCTGCGTACTAATTAAAGCAAATAAAGAGTTTTTTATTGTAAAAATGACCACTGATCATTAAGCAAAGAAGATCTAGAAGTTTAAGGCACGAGCCTTAAATATAAGGGCAAATCTTTTTCAAATCAAATCACTTCTCATTCAGATTTTGACTTGTTTACTTTGTTCTAGCTTTCTGAACTTTTTTTGAAAATGTTCTGAGCAAATGCTTACTCATCACTTTCGAGTGATGTTAAATGCAATAAGTCACCTGATTTATTTTGTTGGTACATTCAACGATTAGCGTCAGTTAGCTTGTAGGTAGTAGTTGTTGTGATAACAGTTGCACACGAAGCAACTGACTTATTGCATTCAACATCAGTAGAAAGTGATGAAAAAGCATTTGCTGAGAACATTTTCAAAAAAAAAATCAGAAAGCTAGAACAAAGTGAACAAGTTGGAATCTGAATGGAAAGTGATTTAATTTGAAAACGATTTGTTCTTATATTTAAAGCTACTGCTTTAAACTTCTAGATCCTTCTTGCTCAATGATCAGTGATCATTTTTAGAACAAAAAAACTCTTTATTTGCTTTAATTAGTAAGCAGGTACTCTTTGTTTGTTTTAAGTAAAGAAACAGTTTTTTTTATTCTGATTAGAACAAAAAATGTGCAATTGACCATTTTTAAGCAAAGGAAGAGTCTTAAAACAAATACTTTTATAAAAATGCATTTTTAAGTAAGATTAACATGCATTTCTCCTATATGGCGCAATACCTGAATAGCAAACCTTAACTTCAAAAAATCATATCTTAAAAACTATATAGTATATTATTTTACAGTATATTATTTTAAATTCATTTAAATTAGAAAAAAATAATTTCGTTCAAAGTGTGTGGACTTTTTGAATTTATTTTAGTGCATTTGATTTGTCTCACTGAGACGAACAAAATGATATAAAATTTGTCAAGTTATCACGACATGACTTTTTTGTCGCCCTGTATAATCTACAAAAAGAAGCAATCAGTTTAGTCCCATTTTTTTAAATTGTTACTAGATGACAGAAACTCCAGTCAAGGCTAAACAAATTTAGAGCTGTAAATTTTAATTTATTATTAAGTAGTCGCACTGAAACAAATTCAAGACTGCGAACTTTTGCATCAATTTTTCCACTAGAGGCATAAACATTCCAAATGTCATGAACATAAGTCGAAGTCCGATCCGTTTCACTTTTGAGATTTGCAAGTGTTCCAACCAAAATGAAAAGCCAAGAGTAACACAAAATCAAAAATGTGAAATTGCAAAAATAACTTAGAATATATTTGTCGGTTTTGTTTTTTTATAATAAAAATTACATAATAAATCATTTCTATTACACTTTGAAACCAAACTGCTAAGTATTTAGGACTGCGGATCGGCTCTTCTTATTCGACGAAATAAAGGACATTTATTTCTTTCAAATGGTTAAATAATAAATTTATTAATCATTGTATTATTTCTGTTGTGAAAGAACTGATGTAATTGTTTTTATTGATCATCTTGTACCTTTTCCATTACTAAATAATGTTTTTAATATTTAAATAGTTCTTCCAGAAAGAAACAATATAGGTATAAGCTTAAATATAGAATTGGACGAGTATAACAACATAGGTTGCTACAGAAGCCATAATCTACAAAAGGAAGCATCAGTTTAGTCCCATTTTTTTAAATTTTTACCAGATGACAGAGACTCCAGTCAAGGCTAAACAAATTTAGAGCTGTAAATTTTAATTTATTATTAAGTAGTCGCACTGAAACAAATTCAAGACTGCGAACTTTTGCATCAATTTTTCCACTAGAGGCATAAACATTCCAAATGTCATGAACATAAGTCGAAGTCTGATCCGTTTCACTTTTGAGATTTGCAAGTATTCCAACCAAAATGAAAAGCCAAGAGTAACACAAAATCAAAAATGTGAAATTGCAAAAACAAATTTGAACATACTTATCGGTTCCGTTTTTTACAACAAATATTACATAATAAATCGTTTCTATTACACTTTGAAACCAAACTGCTAAGGCTACTGTTATAGTAATCTCGAAGTTTTTAACCAAACTTGAAGTCAAATTTACCAAATCGTAGTGGAAATATGAGAAATTTTGAATTTGGTGCAAATATGAAGTGGAAGTTTGAAAAAGTAACAAACTTTTTTGTTTTTTCAAAGTGTAATTAATTTGTCGAAACTTGGCTGTTATGGGGTTTAGAAGGTCGGTTAGAAATAACAGATCTAAACACTGAAAAATGTTTGGGGTTAAATAAATGTAAAGTGTCGTTTGTACGTTGTTGCTCTGAAACGGCAAATAACAAAAATTTAAAATTAAGAGAGTAAGAAGAATAATTCTGGTCCAATTTCTCCCAGACATTTTCGGGCTCGGAATTTCAATTTTGCTAATTTCTTTTAGAAGAGATTGTAAACTGTTACTTCTTCTGTAACATGAAATAAAATAAATTATTATCATCATCATATTCCCCAAATTAGAAAATTTATCGATAAATAGAAAAACTTTTTTCGTTTTATACTCAGAGATGTTGTAGTTTACACAGATATAAATAAGGTAGCTATAAAATGGTAGACACCAAAGACGTTGATATAGACTTGAATCAGTTTCGGAAAATTGCAAAATTCCGGTCAGTTTGTAAATATATTTCAAATACTTGGGCGTATTTACTAAACAAGACATTTGTGTTTGAAGAACAGACACCAACTGGGTCACAATACGTTTGTATTGATCCTCATTTTATTTGTTTTAGTCAAATAATCAAATTAAATGTCGTTCTCAACTGGACCTCAACTTCACCCCTCAACTACAACTTGCATTTACTCTCAGACTTTTTAAGAGAAGGACTAAAATTCACTCCTTACATTAGGCACTCTGGTTTAATTGTTATTATCTTGGATGTTCCCCTTTTTACCGACGCTCTTTCTTATACCATTTCTGGTTTTATGACTTTTCAACAAAATAACCAGAAATTCAGAGTTGGACTCCCGTCAAATGTAGAATTGACACCTGGAGATGTTACAAATAATTCTGTTATCGTTCATTTGTACAAAGTAATAACTGAAGATAGCAAAAACGATCTTATTGCTTTAGCCCTAACTGGAGTGAGACACGAGTTTGTTATGATTTTTGATACAAATCAGTTGGAAAGTGTCCTTGAAACTGATTGTTTACTAACCAGAATTAACGTAACATGTGAGAAACATTTTTATGTGGCTCATAAAATTTGTCCTGAACTTGACGGGGTCATAGTGGAAGTAGAAAATGACTCAGGAGGGACTTTCAATTTTAATACTTATTGCAAGTAAGTTTTCTTGTTTTCATTTTTGTTTTGCAAATGTCTTTTTCTAGGAATTTAGGAACTACCATTGCTCTACTTCACTATCTCCATAGACATATCATCGGTGTGGTTTTAGTGCCAAAGCCACTCTTCCAACCTGAATTGAGTCTCAGTGATTTAACTCATTTGTTGAAAAAGTCACTATCTGAAGAATTGGATATGTTGGGAAAAGGTGCAGAGGGTGGTTTGAAGGAATTAAAAGCGAAAGTGTGTGATTTTGAGTACCGAAGCGATGTTTTAGTTGCTCGAATAAATCAAAAACAGAATTGTTAACATGGATATATTCCTCAAGTTTTTTAACAAAAATATAAATATACAAAGTGGTTTTGCCTTTTTTTACCATTACCATCCTAACCGACCCAACAATTTTGCAGTACGGCCCCCCATCCCGACTTTATACAATACAGGTACGCGGAAGCTTGCACGTTACGCCATCTGCAAATTGCTATATACAGTTCTAATCTATCATAATTTAAAATATATAAATAAAACTAGAAAACTACACGAAAAATATTGCACGTGTGTGATATTGCACTCTGTATCACGCGCCTAAGTGATTTCTTAAGGTACTTTAAAATTTAAGGTAGTACTTATTGCACTTGTTTCTAACCTATACTAAGAATGATTTGGCTATAGCTGTTTGAGTCACAGCAGTCAAAATTGCCGACTTAAATCTACTTAACTCTAATATTGCATCCTATCGACTAAAATTGCACTTCCGGCCCGCTTAAACTATATCACATAGACGACAGACAAGTGGTTAAACAACAGGAAAAGAGATGGCAGCCTTAAGAGAAAGACTTTTCATTAACTACGAGGATTTTATTGATTTGGAGCGACTCTTTCATACTATCTACTCCACTATCCATAGACCCGAAAGCTAAAAAATTTGGTTTCCGGAAACTCCCGAAGAAAACCGAATGAGTTTCAACACTCTCCGCCCCCGACTCACTATGTCCCTCATCCAAACTTTCATCGCTTTCACTTTTCAATTTGGGGGAACTTGAATCGCTCAAATATCCAGAATCTTCCTGCTTTGTCCATTTCTCAGGAGTGCCAACCTTACCTCCCGTATTCCTGCTGACACCCCTGCCAATCACGTTTTTTGGAGGCAATGGAGGCTTCCCTAGAATGTCTTCATCGTCCAGATGAACCTTCCTGGGGGGTTTCGGGTGTTCGTAAATGGGGGAATCCCCATGAGGCGGTGGGGGGATTAAATCGGGAGGGATGTTTCCAAGAGTTGTCATTCTTCTTTGACGTTTCGAGTGACGCTCTTCAAGGGACAAAATTCGGCCATCGATTCCGTTGTCGGAAAAATTACTAGGTGGTGGTTTAAAACCTCGAGTTTTGGCCTCGTAAATCTCACGAAGACTACCGAAGACTCGGTTAAAATTACTCGTGTTGTGAGTGGGTGATGTGGGATTATTTTTGAAACTTCCGTTGCTTCGAAGGAGAATGCGGGAGGGACGCTCCAGGGAGTCGATGAACTCGTCGTCGAAACGGGGGGCGAGTTTGAGTTTAGAGGGTTTGCGGTCAAGGGTGTCAGGCTCAAAGCTGTCCGAGTCGTGCACAGGGATGTAGTGGTCGGCGCAGTCTTTTACTTCGATGAGGAGTTTGCCCGGCTTTTCGACGCCGTCCTCATATCTGTATCAATAAATAAAGAAAATGATCAAAAACTACTTTCTCTTCTTTTTTAAACAAATACTGAAGAGTCAAATTGTTAAAATTGTCAAAATAATTCCTGTTCCTAAGAATGGGGATAAAGCTTGTGTAAACAACTATCGCCCCACATCATTTTCATCATTTATATCAAAAATATTAGAGACCGCTATGTTAAACAGTCAATAACTTTTTAGATAAACACTTTTTAATCAGCAAGCAGCAATATGGTTTCACCAAAAATAAATCGACAACCGACGCGTTATTAACCTTTTATAATAATGTATCATACATTTTAGAAGAAAAAAAAACATCCAATAGGTTTATTTTGTGACTTAACTAAAGCATTCGACTGCATTAATCATGACTTATTATTGTATAAATTAGAGAAGTATGGTTTTAGGGATGTAGTTTTAAACTAGTACGAGTATGAATCATATTTGAAAGGCCGCTCTCAATCCGTAGAAATTTGTAACATAAAATCAAATGGAATCACATATAAACATCTTTCAAAACCTATTACGAATAATGTAGGCTTACCTCAAGGTACTATTTTAGCACCAACGCTATTTAAGATCTTTGTAAATGCTAAATGCTCATATCTGCAGATGATATCACAGTGTTATGTTGTGGCAACACACTAAACAATGCTCTTATAGGAGCAGAAAATGTATGTTCGAGACTATTTGAGTGGTTTATACAAAACGGTTTATGCTTAAATTTGGAAAAAACAAAATTCATAATCTTTTTCGCGGGGAGTATTAATAGACCGGATTTAAATCTAAAAATCAAAAATCTTCAACATGTTCAAAATAAAAAAATCTTAGGTCTTATATTTGAATATAATTTAAAATGGGAAAAACATTGTAGTATTTTAGTCAATAAATTGAGTAGATTAGGGGACTGCGTGAAATTTGTAATTCGGACACGTTACGATCTTTTTATTTTGCTGAAGTAGAATCAGTAATAAAGGTATGGTTTAAAAATTTGGGGAAATTCACCACAGTCAAAGCAAGTATTCACATTACAAAAAATGATTGTCCGTAGTTTAATAGGAGCACGTCCTCTCGATTCTTGTAAACCGATTTTTAAATCCTTAAAAATTCTTTCATTACAGTCCCTTTACATCTACGAAATTGCATGCTACATTAATAAAAACCGTGGCCTTTTAAAAACACATCTAGATTACCATAACTTCAATACAAGACATATTAGTGATTTAGTTATGCCAGCACATCGCCTCAAAATCACAGACAAGGGTCCCTTTGTATCAGGTATTAGAATTTTTATTAACCTTCCTCCAGGTATTAAAGAAATCAGATCTCCACCGCAATTTAAAAAGATGCTACATTCACATTTATTAAAATATTGTTTCTATTCCATTGAAGAATATCTAAATAATTAAATTTTGTAAACAAGTCTTTTTATGTATTTAAGGGCCGCCACACGCGGGGGTGCAAGGCGTGCGACGCACGCGGGCGCTAGAGTTAAGGGGGCGCCAAAACGGTAACAAAATTTAATAAGAAAAGACATTTTGAATTTCGCAGTGAACGAAAAAAAACTGCAAAAGAAATACAACCAAACAAAACGTTATGTGAAAAAACTAGTCATGTGGCCGTTTCCTGTTATAGAGGTTAGAGTTCGAACACTGTACGATGTACACCGTGAGCCATTCAAATAGCTTGTGGGATTTAAATGACTCAAGATGTCCATCTTATAATATTCGAACTCTAATAAAGGTGTTGCGCCGCCAAGTTCACTGAATCTGGACTTCTGAATAAAACAAATTTTATATCGTTTCCTAGAACTTTTGGGTTAAAAAAATTCACATACTAAGATCGCATCCAATTTTCTATTTCCTTTCATTAGTTTGCTTTATTACTTAGTGGATTTGTGCTTAGTAGTAGTCGAAACTTTGTTTTTAAATTAGTGATTTTTGTGGAAGTATTACAATTAAACAAATATCTTGGTAATTTTTAATCCTATTTTAATTATACGTTTAGATGAAAGTTTCGAAAATATAATGACTGAATCAAACAAAATTGCTGACGAACTTAATGTAGAACCAAATTTTCCGATGATACAAACTGTACGCCCAAAAGGCAAGCCAAAACTCTTTGATTACGAACATCAAGACGAAGTTGTGCTAGATGCAAAAAATAATTTCAAAATTAACTTTTCTACAGGATTTTGAATCAAGTTTAGTCTTCTTTAAATAATAGGTTTGAAAAACTAAATATATTTAATGATACATTTGGATTTATTGACAATATGTTTAATTCTTCGGAAGAAGAATTATTAAAAAGTTTCAAAGACTTTTAAAGCTTTAAAAATACATTTTATCGAACATACTATGCAAGAACCTTGAAATATTTTACAATATCTTTTTGAAAATAATTTAATTTCTACTTTTCCTAATACAGCAATTACATTAAGAATTTTACTTTCCTTACCTGTTTCAGTTTCGTCGGGCGAAAGATTTTTTCTAAATTAAAAATCATTAAAAATTATTTAAGATTCACCATGATTCAGTCTAGGTTAAGCAACTTATCTATTATTGCAATTGAACAAGAGCTGTTACATAATTTAGATATAAAGGAGCTGGTTACAGAGTTTGCAAGTATGAAAGTGAAGAAAATACAATTTCTTTAAGAATTAGTTTCTATATATGATGTTATGTTTTATTTTCTTATTTGCGTTTTTAAAATCAAAAATTGATTAAATAATTTTTTTGTTATTTTGTTTTATTTATTGGCACTTATATATTTTTAGGTATCATACCGATGTAATAAAATAAGTATACCCACATTTTCTTAACAAATTAACAAGGGGCGTCAAATTCAAATGTGCACGCGGGCGTCAAAACCTCTAGCGGCGGCCCTGTGTATTTTAATGTTTTAAACTTTAATTTTAATACTGTTTCTTGACGTACCAAGATGTATTGTATATATATTGTACATACGTGGTTAAATAAATTGAATTGAATTGAAATTGAAAAGTATTTGAGTTGGCAACAAAACTGTGGAATCTCTAGAATTTTTATAATACAAGTGGGAAAATTGTGTCACCAACTGAAGTAATACTTCTTAACCACCTAGTAATGGAGAAATGGCAACTAACCGGACTTTGAGGGTACGTCTGTCAAAAGTCGAGCAATTGGAATCGCTAGACGATGAAGGAGCACTACTGTAGTTATACCCATTATTGACGTAAACTTCGCTAACTAAACTATAACCGTTACTCCTTTGAAGAAGCTCCGGTAACTTGTAAAAATTCTGTTTTTGTAGAGACCCTTTCTTCAGAACGATTAGTTCATAGTCGTGCTCATCTTCCTGAAGACAATCGACGTTTATTTTTGAAATAGTCATATTTCCGGTCTTCTTATTGAAAATGGCATTTCTCATGGTCATTTCTTCATCCATGGGTAAGGCAGTACTGAGGCTTGGACTAGGTTGCGACGACGAAAGATCTGCATATTCAGTCGGGGTGCTATATCCCCTGGTTCGTTCCAAACTATCCGTCTCATAATCTATCCCTCGTTTTGCCGTTTCTGGACTCGACTCAACCATCCCTCTTTGTATAGCCAGTTCCTCAATTACCGCCTTCATGTGTTTTTTCGTAAGAGTCGGAATTCGAATCTCCTCCTGATCCACCGCCATTGCTTCATGTATCATATCTGGTGGTGGGAAATTCATTTCTCTCTTCTCGACCGGAACTGAATCGTATTGATGTTCCGGGGGCGGTGGAGGCGGCGCTTTGGGTTTACGAATTTTCCGGTGATTTTTCTCCGACTGGTCACTAAGGGGCGAAGTCGCTCTTTCGGACGCTGGTCGAGGGGAGAGTGCTCTTGTGGGAGTGGCCGCCCCGTCCGGCAGCGACCTAGTCGGCGATCTTAACCGTTTAGGAGCCCTTCCGAAAGTTTCCTCACTTTGTTTCAACACTGGAACGTCTTCGAGCCACTTTCGGATACTCCTTTGTTTGCTGTCGGTGGAAGAACAGGTCTTGCAAGCCCCCAGGGATGGAAATTCTGGGAGTTTTCCGCACAGTTGGGTGAAATCTTGAGGCTCGCAACCTGGACATCCCGAGCAAGTTTTTCTACGACTGTTTTCGCGTTTAAGACTTATCATACTGCTGCGACGGCTCATGGAAGGTTTGGGGTTGTCGTAGGCTGATTCTGTGTGAGTGTTATCTTCTTCAGGGATGACGATAAGGCTTGGCGAGAATTTTTTAGCGGCCATTTTTTGTTTGGCGATTGTTATGACTTCGCGGATTTTTGCCAGAAATTCAAGTGCCGCAGGTGGAGGGGCCTGAAAATAACAATGACAATTTTGGGATTTTTTGGGATTCTTTGTAGTACCATTAAGAGTTGGGGCTCGAAATAGGCTGGGTTGAAGTATAATTTTCGTCGGACTGTTCCTGTGAGGGCTTTAAAAGAGTCGATCCGGTCATCTCGTCCCTCTAGAGTCTCCACTATGGAAACATTTTCTTCGGGGAGTTTTTCAATAGATGATGGGTCTTGATGATTTGAGTCTAGATAAACTGAAGGTGGGAGGCCGTAAGTGTGTTGGTATTGTGAGTGGACAAGGGCGGAAGTTGTGTGACCCTAAACATTTTTTTTTATATAAAATTAAAAATAAATTGAGGAAAGTAAATACCGATTTAGTCTTTTTCTCGTCGCTGTGTTTGATTAGTTCTGCTTCGGGATCGGAGCTCGTTGAGTCGGTGTAGATCGTATCTGGCTGGAAATGCCCTGTCATATTTAACAGCGGGTTGTTCTTCACGACCCCTTCTTCGGCACTTGTTAGATTTTTATCTTCGCTTTTGCGTGAAGCATCCTTATTTTTTTTCTTCAAATGGACATAAAGGAAGACCGAAGCGACGTAAATCAGGCCGAGTAGCACGCTACATGTTCCAATAGCGACGTACTCGGACACACTTAACTTATTCGAATTTTCAGACGATGAGTGAGCGTCTGTTGAGAAAGCCACTTCGCTGACATCTACAAGAAATTTTTAATTATTTGATTTTCAGCGAAAGCTTTGCAAGAAAAGTCACATTTATTGGCCAGTCATGAGAGCTTTTTACATTCACTACTTAAAACAATTAAAGGAACAGGAATATTTCTTAAATTTTTTTGCGATTTTTGAAAGGCTGTATCTCATGGAAAAATAGTCGTATCTAGATTTTTAAAAAACCATTCCAAGGCCTTAAGTTTCTAGTTTTGAGATCTTGTCACTTTTTGTTTTTGGTCCACGCACTTGGGGATTTTTTTTAGTTAAATCAATGGATGTGCCGGATAGCCTGTTCATTCGGCTTTAATATGCTTTTTTATATTCTCTTACGTTTTTGTCGCTGAGATATCTGACTTTTAACGAAAAAGAATCCTTTTGTCTTTGATCATCGATAACCAATAACCGCACAGAGAATGTAAGAGTGCTTCCAAAAACTGAAACAATGTCTTACAAGATCTTTTAATGATTTTTTCAAAAACAATTTTTTTTTCTAAAACACTGACTTGAAAGAAAGAGAAAAAATAACATTTTGCATTGTTTTAGTAAATGTACCGTGTATTCATTAATATTGATGGGGAGATTAATGTTTTTAGGTGGTTTTACATACAGTTTAATGTACTCCCATAGCCCTGTAAATTTTTGATTCATCAAACCGTTTTCTCGGGCCGACTGCAAAAGAATTAAAGGAACAATTGCACATATCGTTTCTGAACATTGCTTAATCTTCATCAAAATGAAAAAATAGTAGATTGTTCTATAAGTTAAGAAAAGTGAGTTTTCCAGTGAGAATTGGTCAAGGAGTCATATTTTGCTAACATGGTAGCAAAACAAGAGAACGAGTAAATACATTTTTCTTTGTGCAAAATGACTGAATTGGGTGAAGGGTTTTCCAATATTTTAACAACAGTAGCAGAAATTAATTCAAATTTGCTACCGTCAAAGGCAAGAGAAAAGTATGAGAAAACTTATGAACAGTTTTGTTCATGGAGAAAATCAAAAAAAGTAGAGGAAAGTGATGAAAACATCCTAATCGGTTTCTTTTTTGAAAAGGTATTTGTCATTAATTACATTAATTTTCAGTACTAGGTAATTTTTAACGTATTGTTGTAGGCTAAAAGTTTGAAATCTTCAACATTGTAGCCATTGTATTCATTGTTAAAAAGTACGCTGGCTATTAATGAAAATGTTGACATTTCTACTTATAAAAAGTTGCTTGCATATTTAAAACGTCAAAATGACGGATGTGGCCAAAAAATCTAAGATTAATATAAGACCCCGGATGATACCTTCCTGTTCATGAAAGTAGTTATGATTTTTGCTTTACATATGGAGCCTGCCGAGCTGATGAATTACGTTTGCTAAAAGTAGAAGATGTTGATAACATTTAAATAAAACTTTAAATAATTGTACATTTTCTATTAATATTCATAATTAAAATATATAAAGTTTAATTGTTGCTTTATTTAATGGTCGCTAAGTATCCAAAATCGTGAAGAAAAGTGTTGCTAACTGAAATCGCGAAGAAATGTGTTGCTAACGATCAAAGTTCCACTTTTTTTACGATTTTGAATTCAACAATGTAATACGTTTCTATCAAATACACGAAAAACGATTTTTTTCGAGTTTTTTTTTATAATTTCGCATTAGTTTGCATTAGTTATTTGCTATAAAAAAAATAAACTATTTTTTAATTTTTTTTTGAAAATCTGTAAAAACATTCAACTGCTTAATTTTTGAAAAAAAAATTCAAAAATACTTTTTCAATTTTTTTCGAATTTTGTTTCAAATTTAACTAATGCAAAATTGTAAAAGAAAGCTGAAAAAAAGTGTTTTTCTCATTTTGACAAAGAGTAGACGATATTCGGAAACAATGAGCCGTATGAATAAAGTTAAGTAAATGCTTCTACTTGTAATAGTAAAAGATAGACCTAATTTAGATTTTATGAGAAAGAAAGATACAAAACTATCGTTAAAGCTTTTGCTACATTTTATTTATACTACCCAATATGTACAATTGTTCCTTTAATTCTTTTGTAAAACTTTGAAAAATTGGTCTGAGAATACGGTGTGATGGATCAATTTAAAACTTTACAGGGTACATACATTAAGTTGTCAAAACACCTTAAAACATTAATCTCCCCATCGACATTTCAGTTTTTGGAACTACTCTTACATTCTCTGTGCGGTTATTGGTTGCTGAGATATCGATAATCAAACACAAAAGAATCCTTTTTCATTAAAAGTCAGATCCGAATGAACAGGCAATCCGGCACATCCATTGATTTAACTATAAAAAATTCCTTAAATCGGTGGACCAAAAACAAAAACAAAAAAAATTACAATTTTTTTCTCGCGCTATTTCTTAAAAGTCTCAAAACTAAAAACTTAAAGCCTTAGAATGGTTTTAAAAAAATCTAGATACGACTATTTTTCGATGAGATACAGCCTTTCAAAATTCACGAAAAAATTTAGGAAATATTTTTATTTTTTTTTTAATTTTAAATGTTTTGAGTAGTGTATTTTTGTTTCAAAGTGGACTTACTGTTGAGGTATTTCGTCGGCGACCCCACTATTCTGAAGGCCACACATGGCGAGAAAAGTGTGTATCCCGTAGGTGTGAGAGGTTCGCTGGTGGCCAGTTCCCTGCACATCAAGTAGACGAGGACCAGTCGTCCGGACATCTTAGTGCGGAGGTCCGCCTCGCCGACCCACTTTCAACAAAATTTTTCACTCGTGTCAACAAAAATCCATTTTTCTTACCTGCAAAAACGTGCGGCCTTCATCGCGGAATAGCCGGAACGGCACATCGGTATCGACGGGATTCCGCAAATCTACCCACCCGGACTCAGTGAGGAATTTGGCTCCGGAAACGGCGCAAACCGGAGTTTGCACACCTGCAATTCAATCTCTCAACACTTTCGATTCGGAAGCGATTTGATATTAACCTAAATTAACAAAAGTGAATTGACGCTCCAGTTGCTTTCTGAGCGAATTTCGATGTAATTAACAAAATCGACCATTTATAACAGTTAAATGTGTCAGCATGAGGCTGAAACCTGTCGGTTAGTTAACCCGTGGTCACTTAACTGTCATCGGACGTTATTAAATTAATGTGGAAGAGTGGAAGTGTCACGACGCGCATTGCCGGTTTAATTAAATCCACTAACCTGGATTTTTCTAACATTACTAATAACTGAAAGGGTTAAGCTTTTTTGAGTAACCTTTAAACTGCTATTAGTTCGATTTGAAGAGTGCAAGTCAGAGTTAATAAAGATAATGATGTATTACAGTTAGGGGCAATTAAGGCGCGTAAAGAATTGGTTACAAATTAAAAAAGGAAGATTTTGCTTTAAAAAAGTGAAATGACTTAAACGATTCATACGAGTATAACAGGAAAATTACTTGTATTTAATTACTTTCATTTATGATTTGATTTGTTTTTAAACATCATAAAAAAGATAAGACAATACGGACATTTCGATATTAATTTTTCTTTAATTACTTCAAACAAACTGTAATTAATTTTATAAAATTAAAGAATTATAAAAGGACATAAATGTAAAGAGCCCCAAAGTGCTAAAAATAAATAATCCATGCACTCTATTAAAAGGTGTTTTAATTATTTGCCCTTTTACCTAATTACTATATGATTTTTTAGTAATAAACAAAAGTACATCATTTGTATTTTATTATATTTTTTTATTATATTATTATATTACCTATATTAACAAATAAAAATTAAATACAAAATATTGATTTTTTTTTAATTCAACAGTGAGCAGGTATCTAAAATAATGTTATTTATTTCAACCCTGCGACAACAATGATGGGTTAACTAACTAATTAATTAAGTATTACTGTCTTTTGCAACACGATGTTTTGAAACGTCTCGAATGACATTTTTTTTTAAATCTAAGCATTTCTTTAAGAAATTTTAAATGTTTTTTTCAAATCTAGAAATTTTTTAAACCAATACATCTGACACTTTTTTAGTCTCCCCAACTGTCTTTTGTAGCACGATGTTTTGAAACGTCTCGTATGACATTTTTTTAAATTCAAGCATTTCTTTAAGAGTTTTTTAAATGTTTTTTGCAAGTCTAGAAATTTTTTAATCCAGTACAGATGTACTTTCATAGTTTCCCCAACTGTCTTTTGTAGCACGATGTTTTGAAACGTTTCGATTGGCATTTTTACTACTAAATTGAAAAATTTCCTTAAGAATTTTTCTTCTTTTGAAAATCAAAAAAGTACATTTAACACTTTCTTTTTACTTCAAGCCAAATTAATGCGAAGTAACCCAAAGTAGCCTAAAGTGACCTGAAGCTACTCGAATTGACCCAAGCATTATTTTTTACAATCTAAAATACACTTTACTAAATAAAAATGAAACTCTTAATCAAATCCGATAGGATTCGACCACATTAGCTAGTTCCTTTTTTAAAAGACAACAATGAGTACGAAAATCATAGTGTTATTTACTCCAATTTTGCCACAACAACGAGGAAAAATAAAATCATAAATGAGGGGTTTATATATTTTACATATTTGCCCTTAGGCGACATTTCAGACAGCTCGAATTTGAAGCGACAACTAGTGGGGTCGGTGCCTAAATTAACAAAAAATTGTTTTTTGAGTTAATCTCTAGAATGAACAAACATTTTTAAAAACGCCAAATCGTTTCAATTTACTAGATCTACTCAAATTGCCAACTTGCCACCAAAAAGTTCTTTCCTTTCACGTAGATATCAAACGTATCTTTTTAATTAAAGGTCAAATTTTTCCTGAAGTGGGCAATTTGAATAGATATTTTTTGCGTTTTCATTTGGTCCAAGTGATAGTTCTCAAGATTAACTCGATGAAGTGTTCGAAACAAAGAAACTTTACGATTTTTTTGTCGGTTGTATGTTTAAGTAAGTACAATATAATACATACAATAATATTTCGTAAATGATTAGTAAAAGATATCAACATTAACATATAAAAAAATCAAAGTCGTATCTTTTATAATTTGTTAGATATCCGTAGTTAAACTTGACCAAAAACAGCAGAGCGCCATCTCACATATATTAATCCTCTCTTGTCTGTATATTTCAGTTACAATGTAGACCGATTTTCCAGAAAAAAATATTTTACTATTTTATGTGTAAAATTATTTAATATAACAGAATTTTGTTTATAAAAAATAATGAATAAAGGTAAACTATAAAGTTTAGGTAGGAAAATGAGTAACTAACAATTCTTTTAATTCTTCGGCCAGTTATTAGTATTACAATTTTTGAAAAGGGAGTAAAATATTAAATCCTATATTTTATTGGGTCTTCCAAAAGACGTTTTCTCCTTTTTTGACTATTTTATGTAATATTTATGAATTTAAAGTCATTTTTATATAACATTTATTTAACTATTCTTAAAAAACTAAATTTTTACAATTACAAAAATAACATTTTTACAGTAAAACATTATCATTTTTACAATAATCATTGCGTTGTTATCTCCATTATCAAAAAATATAACTGAACTTATTTGTTGTAAGTTGCAAGGGACTAAATTTGTAATTCCTTTAGAAATCACGAATAAAAAAAACTTAGCTAGTTTTGTAGTTGCTGTTGACTAGTGTATAATTTGTAAATTACTTTTGCTAAACATTTTCCACTGAATTATAATTAAATAAAAAAACAGCAATCAACGTTGGTGATTATTCCAATTTGAAACCCAGTGAATTTGTAATAAATCTCGCCTGTGCCTAGTTCCCAGATGCACAATTTCACGGTAAATTAACCTTTCGTCGTCGCTTCCATACCAGATGTAGAACCCGAAAATCGTAATAAAATTTTCGGAATTGCAGCATCCAGGAAATGCTCCAACCTGTTCAACAGGTCTGTGGCACGTGCTAACGATCATTACTCGGCTTCGCCTCTTATTACCATGATGATCGACCGGATGTTACGGTTAGTGGGAATTATGAATTGTAAAATTTATTCTTATTACGATTCCGAGTTAATTGCGTTCGCTGGTACTCACCCGAAAAGCTGATCTCCTTGCTGGGATGGATAATTTGGCCTTTGAGGGGCAGAAACACGAAGGGAATCGTCTCGGAAGTGGAACCTCCTACAAAGGGTGCCAGCACGCATTCTGCAACAAACAAACATTTCAACCGCAAACCGCAACAAGATCACAATCAGAGCAGAATTTTGTGAAAATATCATCAATACAAAGACAAGTTCATCGAACCAACTGTAACGGCCTTTGCATCTGCCATTGCCGTGAAAAACAAATTCATAATAAAGCTGGGTTGAATCGATGCCATGCTGGGATTTACACCATATGGTTGATGGGACGGATTGCGTTACATTGATGGGATGTTTAAGATCGAAATAATCCCCCGTGACCTTGTCGCATAAGAAATCAATGATTTATGCCCCAAGTCCGTTACTTTTTCCAAATCAATGCTATTTATACGTTCTGATTAATTAAAAATCTAGTCTTGGAGGAGTGAGAGGCGTAACGGTCAACTGACCTCGTGAACTGTGACCTAAAATTGCTACACTGATGCACATGCAAGAAAAAATCACATCAGCATAATAAAATTATTTAATGATCAAAAGCAGTTAGCGATGATGTCCCAAAAAGTTCCTATTAGCTATAAAACCTTAGCTATGCTAATTCGTGTTCAAGCTAAAATTCATTTCAATTTTAAACTTCCATTTCATCTACAGTTCCTTTTCTTTTACCGAAAATTAAGGTCATTGTGTTCAAAACACAATTAAAAATATTAACATTGCAAGTTGCTCAGAAATTCTGAGAAAAATGGTAAGAATCATAAAGTTTTAACCATTTATAAATTTGAAGGGTGTGCAATATTTGAAGGGAACTTTTTTAATGGCATAATTACCAGGTTACGCAGAACTTATCTGTAAATTAAAATTTTATTGGTTTTTTGTTCTAAAAATTTAAAAATTCAATACCTTTTTGGGAATTTTGTATTTTCAGGAAAGTACACAACAGTTACAAAACAGTTTAAATAGTGTGGGTTTCAGAATTTAATTATGAATTGACTCAAGTTTGCAGTTTCTTCGTCAGTTTTAGGTTTATTTAATATTTATTATCTTAAAATTATTAACCAAAAAAGTTTTAGCTGAATATTTCCACATATTTAACAAAAAATAAAATTTGAAGTTTTCGAATTGCCAAAACAGGTTTTATTGTTATTTTACCACTTTTTGCAACCATAAACCTAAATCTGGTCGGACTAATCTCAAATTTCTCTTAAAACTCGTCTTGACAATTAACAATTAAGATCGTCGCTCCAGTATGTCGATCACCGTTGCCTCTTAATTAATTTCCTGTTGATTTATAATAATTAAACATCATTTTGTTTTAGATTAAATCTCGCTGACAAAACCCACAAAGTAATTCGACCCGGCCTCTTTTTCATTAGAAAATCCGTTCGTGTTGAGTTAGTGGGCAATAAATCATAATTTCACATTGAAATCTCCATAAATCATGTTATTGTTTAGGGATCCAAGTGAAATCATTAGTAGCACCACAAAACAGCAGATGGTCGAAGTAAATTTCCGCTAAAAATTTTACGAAGAAAGTTGCTTACCTTTTACTTGCTGATCAGTGACGTCACGATGGATAATATATAATTAAACGACAGATGTATAAATTAAGATAATAACCGTGAAGAAACGAACGGATTTGTGCGCTTCGCCAAATTTTAGTGCCCCACTTTGAGCCCAAATCATTAATAATTTATGAATTGAAATTAATGTAAGGAATATTTTCAGCAAAGATACTGAAGTAAAATATATTGGGATGTCAGTGGGTAATTATAAAAAATGCATGTGTTGACCATTTCTAAACATAATTGAAGAGGATGAAGCGTTTGAAGTCGCCGCTAATATTGCCAGATTTGGTGTCGATTGATCGTGCGTGGGAGTGACAGGTGCACTTAACTTTCTAACTCATTACACACCTAATTCCAATATGTTTCACTTAAAATTAAATGTATTACTGAAAAAATTGATAAAGGAAGAAAAAACTTATACAGTAATCATAACACAATGTTAATTGGGTGACTTGCGTTCTTTTCTATAAAAAAAATTGGGTACCGTTTTGTAATTTTCCTTATTTGTCCAAATGCTGCCTCAATTAACACTTTTTTATGGCTTGAATTTTCTCTGGATTTCCTTTCAAATTTTGTATTTGGTACAAAATGCTCATTTAATGAATACACTTTCATGATTAATTGATTGCTTCATAAATAATTTAGAAGAGTGCTGCTCAACAAAATCGATAGTTGGACAGTTTTGCTGTTAAATGACGGTCTTAAAAAAGATACCGATTTGGTTGAAATGCATATTTTATGTTTTTGGCAATTTGCAATTGTCTGAATATAATGAAAAGAAATTTATTTTGAAAGTGGTACCAATTCCATTTTGGTGTTATTACGTTGCCATTGTTGTAAGATTTTGGACGGTAAATTTATCACCACAATTTTATTACTATGGAATTAGTGATATTTTACATTACACTGATTCTTTATGCGATTTGATGGTACTCGCATCTATGGCAGTTCATTTCGTCTTTTTTTATAAAAGAACTAGTAAATTGCAAAATTTGGTTGCAGAAATTGATCGAATTGAGATCAATTTTCTCAATGAAACAAAACAAGAATCAATAAATTGGCTTCGAATTATAAATCTGTCAATAATACTTCTTAATTTAGTTTTGTTGTTTTCTGGGCCAGGGATTATTGTTGATATAGAATACCATCTAAGTTATTATTTTGGTAGTTTTTTAAGTGGCTTGGATGTTATTTTTGTTGGTGTTTTCCTCGATAACTTGAAAAAAAAGTTTGAATGTATCAATCTAAAATTTATTAAAACGAAACAAGATTCTGACCTGATACAAATTTTTCCTAGTGGACATCCTCTGAAAACGAAAACAAAAAGAAAAACAATTTACAAAATTCAACAGTTGGCACATATTCATTACAATTTAGTCACTCTAGTTTACAAAACTATTCAGATCTTTGAAATTACAATTCTATTTGGGACAGCTGCATGGTTTACCATTATTATAAACGAAATCTATTATCTAATATACATGGTGTCTCAATATTCATCAAAACTGGATATCACATATTGGGCTCAATTCCCGCTTGTGGTGCATTACTGTATTTGGATATACTTTCAAATTCGAATTTGGAACGATATCCAGGAAGAGGTTTGTAATTTTTTTTTATTTTATAAAATAAATTACTGAAAGTTTTAGGCGAATAAAACTATAATTTATGTGCACGATATTTGGAATTTGTTAGCTATTAAAGACGAGATTGACACTAATATGAGATATTTGCATTTGATATCGACCAAATTAGTGAGCATGAAATTGGAGTTAACTGCAAAAGGCTTTTTTCCGCTGAATTGGAGTTTACTGTATACAGTGACAATTTAAAAATTTGATTAATACACAAACTAACACTTTGATTGCAGATTATTGCAACAGTAGCAACACATGTCATAATACTAATACAGTTTAAAATTTGAAAAAGTGAGCTAAAAAACTTTGCTCCTATTTAAAAATTATAAAATAAAAATACTTAAATTTGAGTAAAGCTCAGAGTTTTGTTTTGTTTTGTTTTTAATAAAATAAATAAAAGAAAAAGATGTGGTAACTATGTACCTAATTTTAGTGGGAAAATTTTTGTTTCTTTATTTAAATTTTCGTGTTTGAAAAGAATAAATTAATTACAGGAGTCTACTACGTTTTTCAAATTAAATTTTTTCAACACTATAACACTAATGTCTTATATTGTTTCTATCGTGCATTTAAGCTTACCTCATATGTTGCCCTTAATAACCGTTTTTCTATAAGGAACGTCGTCAGTCACAACGTATTTTATAAGTACATATACAGAGTGCGCCAGAACTCGCGCCCCAGAGAAAAATTTCATGTAATATAAGATACCAGGAACATGGAAAAAATGCTTAAAAGTTCTATCTGTCAAAAAATTTTAACATTTGATATTTTTTTATGTTTATTTAATGATACTGATGATCTTGTATATGTTTTTTTTTTACAATTATTTAATAAAGTTACAAAAATTTTGCTAATAAAAGCCACAAATAACATTGAACAGAGTTACAATTTAGAATACCGCCTCCTTGTTTCCTCTTTTAATAGCCTGAATAAAGCGTCCAATTTACACTCAAACGAGTTGAATACAACATTTTATTCTTCGAATTCGACTCAACAAAGCTTAAACTTGCTTTAAATTTGTTAAAAATAATCTGAGGTTTCGTAAAAACCCTAAATTTTGACAGTGTCGAAGAGTAAAATACTGTTATTTTGGCATTTTCCATTTCGTCAATTTTGATATTATTTTCACAAATTTCTTTATAACAATTTCTAACTTTAGTAAAATATCTTATGCAATATTAGTGTTGGAACATTTTTTGAAGACAACACAAATTTTATAGTTTAAAACTCTTGTTGTCTTCATAGCTATCAAAAAGAGAAAAGTTATAAAATTTGACATAGACATAGCTTCATATCATTTGTTTTCCATTCTTAAACATTATCAAATTAATTTCAGAAGAACAGGCCACTTTTTTGGAAATTTAATTGAAGGCACGATAAATTGTTTCAATTTCTTATTAACATTAGAATATTTTTTTCAGCGAATTATGTTAATTTTTTATTGGTCTAAGTGCGTTTTTGAGCAGTTTAATGTGTTGTGATTGAGTTTATAAGACATCTTATGATAACAACATTATTTATGTGATATAGCTTTAAAAATTATATTTTGGGTTAAGTTTTTGGGCGTCCTGATTATGTAATCTTGAATTTAGTTAGCGGAAACGGCAGGTCTTGTAAGTCCTCTTGAAAAAAGTCACCAATTTGTGTCTTATGGTGTAAATAACATTCAAGAAACTAGTAAATTAAACAATAAATTAATAACAACATCGGAAACAAAAAAAAATAGATGCCTACATGATAATAATGCAGAGTGGTTATAAATGATTTTCATCTAGCCAGCTTTGGAATTTTTTTGCATGTAATTTTTTTTGTGCCGCTCTACTTTTTTTAAAGCTCTAGTTCTGCCATTAGTGTAACTTATTAATTAATAATAAATTGTTGTTAATTAAATTTTTATTGTTTCAACTAATTTCCAATAATAATTGATAATAATATATACTTTGGAAGAAAACAAGTTTATAATTGAAGTCTATTTTCGAAGTGGACGCTTAGTAAACGGCGATTTTTTAATTTTGAGTTAGAACAAGTAGGTACCCTTATTTTCGTAAAGCGGCATTTTTTATTTTACATGTATAATATGAAAATTGACAGTTCTGTTATTTTTTTAAAGTTTGAAACAAAAATTTGAATTCATTTTTATGCTTAGCTGAAAGTCTTCTTCATTCGAGAGTTGGTCCGACAGTTTTGAATCACCCTGTATATACACAGATCAAAGTATTTTACTAAAATTCATATTGATATTTTGTTGATTTTTGTTCTCTAAAACTTGTTTTTCACGTTTAATTAAATTTCTGATCACAGTAATCTGTGATTCTGAAATTAAGTTGTCTCTACATTTTTCATTGCTGCCAAATTAATTTCCGAATCACAAGCTACTTGATCGCAAGTAAATTATTTATTACATTCATGTATGATAATTTTTCATTTTCTACCTTACATTATTTCCCTTAATTTAGTCATACTATAAAAGTCTTCTAAGGCATGTGAAAATTATTTTCAAAAATGCAAATTATGTTTTTAACATCAAGTATTACTGCATAACAGTGTTTAAAATATTGTAGACTTTAGTTTCTACAGTTGTGAAAATTTACTACTCCATGGACATGTATGCAAATTTAGACACTTGAATGTATTTTTAATTATAATTGCTTCTGTATGAAAGATCAAGTTTCTAAGATTGATTTTCAGATGGCATTTCTTAAATTCCTAGTAATGCGTGTCAAATTCTGGGATTAGATTCACAAAATTGCAAATATTTAACAGTAGAAAGCTGACAAGCTTAAAGCACTCCAAGTATTGACGTTTAGAAATAAAATCCACAGTTTCCATTGTCAAACAATAAAGCTTCTTGTCGTCTTAGAAGCTACAGGATTTCTGGTATTTTTTTCCTTGGAGAAGCATAAATCGAACTAACGGTGGTCCAAACTTTCCAATAGTAGTCGCATCGGCCGCCAATCTTCCCCGATATAAATCCACTCGAAGTCGCTACAAGGCTGATCGTGACCGACCCGACCTGCCTCACGATGACCCAACATATCTGGCGACAAATCACGGCCATCCGTGATTTATTGAGCCCATCACGAACACAATAAGGAAACTCGTCGATAGTCGGCACTCGATTATAAACAATACGGCTGCGGTTCTCTTTTACAAGAGATGAGTCCAATCTCTTCGGTTTACGTGACCCGAACGAAAAAATTGCGATTTATGCGGAATTGCTAAAGAGCACAGTTAGGAATTATCGTTGTTACCCTCGACCTCCGATTGTTGCGACATTGCGTGGGTCGGAAGTTTTGTGCTTTTCACACCGGTGCCACGCACGACTTTGGATTTGTTCAACGAAGTGCACGTAAACCCGGGCGAAAGGGAGGAGATTTGCGATTTTGTAAACGCCAATGAAGAGACGGATAGGTAATGATAATGTTTACAAGCAGGTCGAATTACCTTGGTGTGAGCCTAATTGTCTTAATGGGATGCAACAACCACTGATTCTAAACCATAATAATTACAGTCACGAATGACTCACTGCTGGTTTTATGGTAAGAGCTGTCATTATCACGGTGTGAACCGCCTATCATGAATGCAAACAAAGTTTACATTACTTGTAATTAGTTTATTATCTGTGTTTATTAGAAAACAATGTATTGGGTGGAGGAATAGCAACAACAGAAGTAAGAACAAAAAACAAGAAATCAAAATCCAAAAATTCTCATTTTAAATAAAGAACGTATGTTGAAAATTGTGTTTGGTACGATCTTATTTTTCATTTAGGTAAGTCATCTTTAGGATATACAGGGTGTGTCAGAACTCGCGTCCCAGAGAAAAATTTCAAGTAAGGTACGATACCAGGAACATGGAAAAAATGTTTAAAAAATTCTGTCAAGAAATTTGGACAGTTATTTTTTGACATTTGACATTTTTTATGTCTATTTAATTACTAATGACCTTGTATATGTTTTTTTTTATAATTATTTAGTAAAGGTACAAAAATTTTGCCAATAAAAGCCACAAATAACATTAAACAGAGTTACAATTCTCTTGTTTTCTTTTCTAATAGCCTGTAGCAAAAAAAACTTGGAAAATTATTTTTTCAACAGAAATAAATAAGAGTCAAAGTGCAAAATTTAAACTATAACTTTTAATTTTTATAAATATAATTTTTTTAACATTTCACCTTACATTTTTCTCTGGGACGCGAGTTCTAGTTCTAAAACCTAAAACTGAGTAGTAGTTCTAAAAACATAATGACTAAAGTTTTTTAAATAAAAACATAAGATTTTTTTTAAATCACACTTATTAATACAAAGACAAACATATGCTTAGAGATCAAGATAATTTGTAATCAAGTCATTTTTGTATCCGAAAACGTAGGTATGTCTGTTTTTGAACTAACTGCAGGTGAAACGTCAAATAAAATGACAAGTTGAAAGGTAAAACGCCAAAATGGGCTGGAATTATTCGCCAACGTATAATAATAGGACCGGTCTTTTTTAAATAAATTTAGTTATTATAATCATCATCTTTTTGATCATGCGATTTTACCTCTCGACTTATCATTTTATTTGACGTTTCACAGTCATTCGCAAAGGACATACGTTTTCGGATCCAAGGACGAGTCGAATCTCTCGATACTTACTTAGTTTTTATAGTAAAAATCAGGAGGGTAGACCGGTCCGTCATTAATTTCATTTTTTCATTACCAACTTAAAAGTGAAATAAAAAATTATATTGCAATGTAAACTGAAAGCCTTGAACATTAATTTACATACCAGGTGAATAAAAAGTATGGAACCAAGCGTTTTTTTCGTAAACTAAACACTTTACGAAAAAAATAATTAGTGTAGCGTAAAGTACAATTTAAATGTGACCATTTATCAAGAATAACATTTTTCGAAATTTAATTAGAGGTCATTTTTAGATCATAATCTTGAATTAAAAAAATTACCATA